AGTCGCGGGGAGCCCCCACCACACCACCCGGGGTCGCGGCTGCCGGAGTCGCGGGGAGCCCCCACCACACCACCCGGGGTCGCGGCTGCTGGGAGGGGCACGGGCCCCTCGGGCCAGCTCCGGCTGCGGCCACTCCAGCTGCAGGCTGTAGAGAGGCCTGTGGATTTGCCTGCACCATCAAATGGACCCATTAGGTGCGCGCGTGGAGCTTATTGGTGCTACGGCCCAATCAGACATAGGATTGGAAATGGTCCAATCAGGTGGGGGGACTCTGAAAGAGGCTAGAAGGCAGGGCAGGCCCCCCCCCCCAACACACGCCCTGCCTGGCTCTCTGAGGGCGCTGTCTCTGGCCTCCAAGACAAGGCAAAAGGAGAGCAAGCGGCTGACCCCTGAAGGGAGAGAAGCCCAAAAGCTTCGCAGAGGCCGGGCCACTGCCGTCTGGCCCTGCCTCTGGTGCCACCTGGAAGGAGCACAGCGGCCGGCCGGGGCCTGGTGTCCCCTGAGGGCCGACCGCGCACAGACCTTTCACACGGTGTTTCCGACACCGGAGCCTCTGCGTGACTGGTGGTGGCCAGCCCGCTGCCAGGTGACGGGCACTGTGTCCAGTCACCTCGGAGACCTGTGGACTGCTCCTGATCACCCGCACCGCCTCCCAGTGCCGCCGCCTCAGCGTTTGTCCGGCCGGGCGCCCAGTGCCGTGGGCCCCACCCTCAGGTGCAATGCATGCTCAGCGGCACACCTGTGAGCACCTCCCGCTGAGGTGAGCTGGACCCTGGCCCTGCCTGCCGCTGCCATGAGCTCCAGGCCCTCACTGGTGGGACAGCAGCTTTTGTTTAGGACTTCTGGACTCTGGACACTATTTGGGGTGAGATACCTGGCTACCTGTGGCCTCAGAACTCTTCGGTTTCCCTGTTTGTTAAATAAACCCCATTACTGTCGTTCCCTGTACCAGAGTGGTCTTGCAACTGTTTGTGTGGGTGAGAACCCACAGTGACCTGTCCTCCACCTGACCACTGTCCTTGACCCCTATAGTTCCGCCCCCAGCACACTTTCTGGGTCTAGGCATTCATGTTTATATTCACTCGTAGGTGTTCATATTTATATTAAGTTATTTAAGGTTTACAACCCTAAAGGCAGTGCTGTCATGTCCACTTTGCAAATTACTCTGAGAAAATTATTCACGGAGAGGTCAAGTAACTTTTTCCAGGGTAGCCATCCAGCAACCTGTCAGCATGGGGATTTACGCCCACACAGCCTGGTTCGAAGGTCTGTGTCCTTAACCACCTTGCTTTCTGCTTCTTCTCGACACTTCTATCTTTTCTGTGTTATGGCACCTGAATTCTAAAATAGTGTCAGCGTGATCATTTTGAGTTTTTATATTGAGACATCTAACCAGCTGGCTATTATGAAGGGTCTAAAAGAAACACTTCCTTAACGTAACCCAGGGCGGTTTGTGACTCGTGCACACAGAAACTCTCTTGGTTCTCGGTGGGTCAGCGTGAGGCGCTCACAACTACGGGGGACAGAACCCGTCCATCTGCTGCTAACTGCCCCTCCCCCCTTCCTACTTAGTTCAGTCACTACCCCCACCCACCTTTCTGCTCTGTCAGGGCTCAGGGAATTTGGCAGATGAGGGAGGTGAGCGGGAACGTGGGCCCGTGGGCCCAGCCTCAGGGCCCGGAGGGGGTGGAAAGGGAATCGGGCTTGCCAGCCTCTGCTTGCTGCTCAGAGGGCCTCACAGGAGGCCCTTCATATAAGCGCCACGTATTATGTGCAAAGCACAGAGACATCCACAATTACTTTACTACAAGCAAAAGTTCCCTGAGCTCCTACAATTAAAAAACCCTGTTAATTCAGTGTTGAGGAAGCATTTTCCAATGAGCTATGGTGGAAGATGAGGAGCGTGAGGGTGTGGTGTGTGGTGACGTACCTCTGGAGGGGTGTGACCCTCTATCTCTGACTCATACAGTGTTGTAAGCCAACATTACCACAATTAAAAAAAGAAAATGGCAAAATACTATGTAACACATGGTTTAAAATAAAATCTAGCTATGGAAATTATCATTTATCAATTTTAAAAAAATTTCATTAGATATATTTTCTCACCACCACCACCCCAGTCTGCACATAGGAACTCAACTTGAAAAGAAGGAAATTCACACTTAATTGGAAACTTCAAAGAAAAACGTGCAGTGGGGCCTCCCTGGTGGCTCAGGGGTTAAAGACACAGCTCTATCAAGCTCCTGCCAGTCACTGTAGCTAGTTCAATTCCTAGCCAGGGTGTGACCCACACAGTGCAGCAGACCTCTCCTGTCTTACCTGCTGTTCCCCTGAGCAGTGTATTTCAGTTGACCTGCCTGTTCTGCTCCCCAACTTTGTCTCTGGTGAATCCTCTCACCTCTTGTACCTCTGGCCTACACCCTAGTTCCTGTATGCACAAATAAATCGTAAAAAAAGAATAAAGCAAATGTGCAGTTTCCATCACACAGAAGTCTGTTTCAGTGTTGAAAATCTGATTCCTCCGTTTTCATTCGACTACCCAAGTTCGAAAGCCAGGAGTCACTCAGCCTGATGCTACAGATTTGTGTTGGTATCAGTTGGCAAATGTTCAAAGCAGAGTTGGAAGCCTTGGGTTTTACTTCTGGCTTGCCTACAACCATCTTGTGTGATGACATTATTGGAGAATTCGTATAATTGTAAAATTTGTACACTAGAAGTATGAAGAGTGAAACAGTTTGTTCCTTGAAGTTACTGATAACCATCTCCTAACCTAGACATAAGCATGATGTCTGAGCACCGGGAAACATGAGTTACAGGGGAAGGGACCTGAGAGAATCTAAGACAAAATCCCACTTTTTAATCAGCTCTAAATTAAAAACTAATTTTTTTTTTTAAAGATTTATTTACTTATTTGTACAGAACTGGGGTACAGGCCAGAGATGCGGAGGGTGAGAGGATTCACCAGAGACAGAGCGGGAAGCAGAACAGGCAGATCGACTAAGCACACTGCTGAGGGGAGCAGCGGGCGGGTCAGGAGAGGTCTGGCTCGCCATGTGGTCTCCTCCGGGGCAGGCGGCAGGCGGGAATCGAACTCATGCGGAAGTGGCTTCAGATTCTCAGTGCTGTGCTTTAACCCGCTGCGCCACCAGGGAGGGCCTAAAAACTAATTTTTTAATAAAATTTCAAATAGTCCTTAGGCCTACTCCTTAACTGACTGTTTCATTTTTTTAAATCATGGGAAAAATAAAACTAGTTTTGAGTTACAATTTAAAGGCAATCAGCCCTCCCTGGTGGCACAGCGGGTTGAAGCACAGCACGATGAAGCTGTCTGCAGCCACTGCAGCCCGAGTTTGATCCCCAGCCAGGGAGGTGACCCACATGGCACACAGAAGACCTCTCCTGTTTCACCTGCTGCTCCCCAAAGCAGTGCGTTTTGTCCATCTGCCTGTTCTGCTCCCCACTCTATCTCTGGTGAATCCTCTCATTGCCCCTGCACAGTTGGCTTGAATCCCAGTTCTGTGTGCATAAATAAACTAAGCTAAAACAAAACAAAACAAGAAACGCCAGGCTTTCCCTGGTGGTGCAACAGGTTAAAGCACTGCATTATGAAGCTCTCCAAAGCCACTGCAGCACGAGTTCAATCCCCGGCCAGGGAGGTGACCCACATGGCGTGCCAGACCTCTTCTACACGCTGCTCCCCTCAGCAGTGTACTTTGTCGGTCTGCCTGTTCTGCTCCCCACTCTGTCTCTGGTGAATCCTCTTACCCCACCCTACCACATCTGGCCTGTACCCCAGTTCTGTGAGCATAAATAAATAAATCCTAAAACACACACACACACACACACAACCAACAATTGAAAAGCAACATGAGAACATGAGACTCATGAGAACATGAGACTCATCAGGGTTTCCCTTCATCTAGAGCTTGTTTCTTTAAGCTCAGGTATCACTGTTCATGCCTGAAACCCAGCAAGACTCACTGATGTTATATACTTGAAGCTATGAAATGTCTTAAAGCAAGTTAAGTTAAAAATCTCTCTGAACAAGTAGCCCTCAACACTTGACCACTGCTTCCTTTTCAGAACACCATGAAGAAAGCAGGATGCAATGGCATGAGCTGCGA